AGAAATTGTTGGGGAAGAAGAAATTGTTGGGGAAGAAGAAATTGTTGGGGAAGAAGAAATTGTTGGGGAAGAAGAAATTGTTGGGGAAGAAGAAATCTATTTTGGGAAAGAAATCTATTGTTGGGGAAGAAGAAATCTATTTTGGGAAAGAAATCTATTGTTGGGGAAGAAGAAATCTATTGATAAAATAACTATAAAGTTTAATAAAGGACCCGATGTAGAAACATATTGTTGATTTTTATGCTATATATTGGGATCCAGAAATAATATAAGATGTTTTTTTCCATGATTAATAAAATTATAGTTCTAGGAATATTAATTTTAATTGGTGATTATGTTTTGGATTATTTTTATTTTTAACTATTTATAGTTCCTATTTATGGCAATCAAAACACGCATTTGAGAGTTAGAGATTCTCCAGTATCTGCAGAAAATATGCTGTTTGAGGATTTTGTTGTTAAGGAAGAAGATATCGTTGCTTATATTTTGGGAGAAGATTATGAAGAATATGAAAAGAAATGCAAATCAAAGCTTGAGGAATATTGTAATGAATTGAAAGTTATAGATCCAGAATTAAATAAAGTTCATACTAAAGTTAAAGAAATTTGTGATAATATAGAACAAAAATGCGCAGGCCTGAATGATAAAATTGAAGTAGAATTCTCAAATTTTAATAGGAAACTTTATGATGCATTGGGAAATCTAAAAGATCAAGATTGTAAAAATAATGAGGAAAAATGTATATTTTTAGAAGAAGCATTTCGTCATGATGATCCTAAGGAGAATTGTGTCAAGTTAAGGGAAAGATGTTACAAATTGAAGCGCCAAAAGGTGGCAGATGAGCTTCTTTTCAGGGCGCTTGGAAAGAATGTTAAAGAAAATGATAAATGTAAAGAAAAGATGGAAACTATTTGCCCAGTGTTAAGTCGAGAAAGCGACGAGTTCATGTTTTCTTGCCTTAATCTAACTAAAACGTGTGATGATCTAAAAAGCAAATTGGGTAGTGTTTGCCTTCCTTTAAAAGAAGAGCTTAAAGATGACAAATTAGAGGAAAAGTGCTATGAAAGACTTGAGAAATGTCATTTTTACGGAGAAGCGTGTGATGATGCAAAATGTCAGGTCTTTGAGGAGGAATGCAAGAAAAATAATATTACATATAAAGCGCCGGAATCTGATTTTAGTCCGGTGAAACCGAGGGCGTCGTTGTTGACAATGATTGGGTTGGAAGATGTCTATAAAAATGCGGAAAAAGATGGGATTCTTATTGGAAAAGCAGGAGTGGATGTACCAAGGAAGTTGGGCATATATTTTCTGCAAGATATCTTGCTACTGTTGAGCCAAGATGTGAATGAGATGGATACAGTAAAAAAATGCAATATAATGTTAGAAAGATGCAATGATCTTAAGCACTTGGGTAACGAAATGACAAAGTTATGCGAAGATGGTGGTAAAGAAAATAAATGCAAAAAAATACTAGATGTAAATGTAAAAGAAAGATGTACGAAATTCAAATCAGCACTTTTTCAGAAAGATTTGTCTACACAATATAATGATGATGAAAAATCAGAGCTTTTACCGTGGGGACATCTGCCTACATTTTTTACAAAGGGAGAGTGTACGGAACTTGTCTCGGAATGTTTCTATTTAAAAAATGCGTGTACGAATAAGATTGATCAAGCATGTCAAAATGTACATGCAGCGTGCTATAAAATAGGAAAAGATAGGATATTGAATAAGTTCTTTCAAAAGGAATTGAGGGGGAAGCTTGGTGATTTAAGATTTAATAGTGAAAGTCTTAAAAAATGCCAAGAATATGTGGTAGAAAACTGTACAAAACTTGATGAAAGATACCTTCCAAAATGTCTTTACCCTAAAAGACTATGTTATGTGCTTTCAGATAATATTGTTGTTCAATCAAGAGAGTTAGGTGTGCTTTTGGATGGTCAGAGAGATTCTCCATTAGAAAAACATTGTCTTGAGTTGGGGGAGAAGTGTGATGAACTTGATAGGGATTCAAATTCGAATTCTAGAAAGTGTGCAACATTGAAAATACTCTGTGAATATTTTAGGGTTGCAGAGAAATTTAGAAAAGTATTTTTAAAAAGAGAAGATGATGCATTATACGATGAGCAAAACTGCACGAAGGCGTTGCATGAGAAATGTGATACTTTATCTAGGGGGGAAAATCCATTTAGTATTTCATGTGCTTTGCCAAGAGAAACATGTAAATATATGGTACACCATACAAGACAAGATTGTAGATATTTAAAAGACAACATGAAGAATGAAGGAATTCTAGAAAAAATTGAGGACGCAAAAAAAGCAAATGCAAATGAAACCTTGGTTGAAGAACTCTGCACAACATGGGGCCGACATTGTCACCAACTTGTGAAGAATTGTCCAGATCAGTTGGGAAAAGAAAAGAATGGCAATGATCAAAACTGTGAAAAACTCGATGAAAAATGCAGGGATACTTTTAAAAAGTTGAAATCGAAGGATGAGCTGACACATCTGTTGAAAGGCAGTCTAAGCAATGATAAATGTAAAGATGCATTAAAAAAGCATTGCCCTGAGTTGCAAAAGAATGGAACATTCAAAATTCTGATTGATAATTGTGAAGATAATACTGTCAAAGAACTTTGCGAAAAATTAGTTGAAAAAGTACAAAATAGATGTCCTACTTTAAAAACCGATTTGGAGAAAGCGAAAGATGAGTTGACAGAGAAGAAAGATGAATACGAAAAGGCCAAACAGGCGGCAGAAAAATCTACAGAGGCAGCTAAGTTATTGCTATCAAGGCAGAATAGCAGTGATTCTGAACAAGTATCACCACCACTGTCAGCAGCAGAGTCATCATCAGGGTCATCATCAGAGCTACCACCACCACCACCACCACCACAAAATGGAACGCCAGGCACACCAGATGGAGCATCAGGCACACCAGGTAGTGGAATGCCAAACTATGTAAAATTTGGACTCGTTAAAAGAGAATATGTAGCTGAAGGAGTATCAGAAGCAGAGGTAAAAGCATTTGATGCAACGACAATAGCATTGGAGCTGTATTTGGAATTGAAAGAGGAATGTAAAGCTTTAGAACTAGATTGCGGTTTTAGAGAGGATTGTCCGAATTCTAAAGAAGTTTGCGGAGAAATAGACACGTTATGCAAAGAAATAGAACCATTAAAAGATAAGCCTTATGAAAAAATAACAGAACCGTGTACATTATTGCAGACGACGGATATATGGGTGACGAGTACGTCGATAGTGACGTCAACAGTCACGTCGACCTCGATGCGCAGGTGCAAGCCTACCAAATGTACTACTGATTCAAGCAAAGAGACACAGAAAGGAGAAGAAGAAGAAGAAGTAAAGCCAAATGATGGGATGAAAATAAGAGTTCCTGATATGATTAAAATAATGTTGTTGGGAGTGATTGTTATGGGGATGATGTAAAATGAATGGAAAAATGTTAATAGAATAAAAGTGTGCATATATCCATTGTTTATATATAATAGAAATGTAAATGAATAAAATGAAAAATAAACTTTTAATTATTTTAACACAC